CTTTGATTGGTTTGCCAGATGTTCTGGTTTAACAACCGAACAAAGAAAACGCTTAACAATAGCAGTGGAACTTGTTGCAAATCTTCTATTTTTTTATGGATGAACCCACACTGGACTTGATGCAAGAGCTGCAGCCATTGTGATGCGAACTGTTCGTAATACTGTTGTATCGGACGAACCGTAGTTTGCACCATACATCAACCAGTGAAGCATTTGATGAGATTGGTCAGCTTATATCTTGTATGCACTCTCTTATTTTTATTTTTATTTCAGTGAAAAGCTTGTGTTCTCATCACAGCTGCTGCTTATGAAACAATGAGGGGCAGGTTATATACGGAGGGAAGCTTGGGATAAACTCAAAGACTGCATAGATTTTTTGCAGGTGATATCATTTGCCTATGTTTTTGGTGACAACTTCAATTTATTTCCTCATTTGCTCAAGTCACTGATAACAAAATATTTAACCAAGCTATCTTTTGTGGATATTGAGGTTTGATTCCTAAAATCAGGATCCTGACTCTGGTTTTGTGTGCGAACTTTGTCCGGACACTCTTTTCCTTGTTTAGGGGGTTCATGGAGTTGTCTCCAATTCCATGTGGCTACATCCAGCAACTTGGATGTTTGACGTTACTACTCCTGCTGTTGAGAAAAAATAGGATAGACTTTGCAGATGTATACAAAAAACTCTGAGCAATACAGGTGATTTAATTGATATTATTTCCAACCAAGATGTGCTTACACCAAAAAATTTCTTTCTTCTATGGTAATTTTTTTTTTTTCTTGATTTGATTATATTTACTGCAGGGAAGTAGAATCTTCCATTAAAATTTGAGTGTTTCACCTGCTGGCTCAGACCATTAAGTTTTCTACATATTCACAAGATAGCTTTCCCAATGTTGGATTTGTCTTTGGAGCAAAATCTTGTATATTGGAGAAGTCCTGAATACAATGCTGTGAGGTGCTATAATTTATTCATATTACTGATAAATTCTTAAAGGAATATATCTTAGGATAAATTTGGACTTTAGAGTTGTTGTAGCATCTAATAATCGCTTATTTCTTAAATAAAAAAATTGTGTTTGTGTTTGGTAAACACATTTTAAAAGTGATTACGAACAATTTACTCCCTCAATAATCTATTTTCACATATTTCTAGCTTTTAAAATTTTAAATCAGCTTTTCAGAAAAGTCGATTGCTAATATATCCCAAGATTAAACATAAATTCTAATTTTATTAAATATAAATTATAATTTTTGTATAAACAAATTTTAAAATTAAATTAATAAAATTATTAAATACACAAACTAGTCGTTGGAGTCAATGGAAAATATTTTTTGGTGAGTAAGATTACATTGTTGGCACCATTAGGATCACTGATCAGCGATGTACACAATGGTGCCTGAGATTTAGAGATGGCAAGAGTCCTCGAAATTTTGGGGACTCGCCCTGTCCTGCTTCGTGCAGGGTGAGGATTCCCCACAATAGGCGAGGACGAGAACGAGGACGGATTGATTCCCTGTCTCCGAGGATGGGGATAGTTGTCTCCCCGCCCTCGCCCCGCTTAAAGCTCACTAATTAACAAAATTACCCTTACATATTTCTATAAGGCTCGTTCAAACCCCATTAATTGACAAAATTACCCTTACATATTTCTATAATTACATAAATACCCTCCTTATACACACCCATGACCCAACCCTAAACCTCCACACTCGCGGCCGCCTCTCGCATCTTGTCACCACCACTCCAAGCAAACATTGTCCGCTTGTTTTTCCTTCGACTCTCTAGTTCTCTTTCCTCTTCAGCTTTTCCTCAAAACATCTTTGCATTCGTCGTTCTTTATCGTTGTTGTTTTCATCGTTGCCATCTTTACATTTTCAGGTTAAAATCGTTGTCGTCTTTTTTTTTTTTTTTTTTTTTTTTATTGGGATTATTGGTTTTTATAGCTAAAGAACTTTGTAGTTTTTATAACAACACAATATTAACACTAAATATTTACAAAATATGCATGACATAATTTAATACTTCTAATAATATTATTTTTTTATTGGGATTATTGGTTTTTATAGCTAAAGAACTTTGTAGTTTTTATAACAACACAATATTAACACTAAATATTTACAAAATATGCATGACATAATTTAATACTTCTAATAATATTAGGATAAGCAAAAAAAATTAGAGATCTCTAAATGTGGGTGTGGCGGGCACTGCGAATGAATTATGGATTTCCTTCCTCAACATGGTTGATTCCTTTGTTGAGAAGAAGAATCTTGATTTGACATTTATTTCCTTTCTATGAACAATTTGAGCGAAGGAGGTAAAAGCAGCTGAAAAAAGTGCTTTCAAATATTGTAAATCGCTTATAGAAACAAATATTTTTTTTTTATTGCATTTTTCTAGTAAATCAAATATTAGATTTTTATTGGGTAATATTGGATAGTTTTTAGAATTATGATTTAAATTTCTTTGTCCAAAACAATTAGTTTCTTGGTTTTCATAATCAAAATAAAGCAGAACCAAAATGTTCCACAGCATTGATTCACAAGAAATAAAATATTCATCTTCCTCTTGTATAGTTATATAATTCAAATATAGAAAATAAAAATGATTAAAACATGTTAAAATATGAGTTCTACATAATAGCACCAAATAGTTGACGACTAGTAATTACTTAATAAAGTATCTTTTAAAATAGTGAACACCATAATAATGATGGGTTCTAAGTAAATATCCCAATTCCCAAGTCCATTAGAAAGTAATTGTAAAAGATAAGGAAACAAAGATCCTGCTTACTCAAAGAACCCAATAATTATGATATCATATAAGATATTTAACCTTATTTGTTACTTACAACATTCATCCTAGTCCAATGGATGATTCTAAAAACCAAAGATACACACATAAACTAGGTGCTTCACACATAAAAATATGAAATACATGCATAAACCTGTGAGTCCTAAGAAGCTAAAGATTACATATCACGACAAACCACTGCAGTTTCAAAGTCATCAGATTAGAATTAGTGGGGGAAGTAAACTTGTTTCATAGATTCAAGCAATTATTGAAGATCCATTTACACATTAGATATCATTGCTACCAAAAAAATCATAAATATGTTACTACTGAAACACAAATGTCCAGCATGGGAACAATGATATTTTCTAACTTCAAAAAAATGAAGGTTTCGCTCTTCAATTTACAATAGCTTGTTAAATTATGGTTAAAGAATATTGCTTCTAAATTCATTCTAATGAAAATTTTTTTCTTCATTGGTGGTAAAAGCAATAACGTCATATGAGAAATTCGTAAACAACCTTAGAGTACCAACTTCACCAACAATACCTTATTCAAATAAGGAGGAAACAAGGGAGGAGATAGAGAAAGAAATAACATACATACCATAAGAAAGAAATAATGCAGCAGTCATAGAATTTGGTTTATGTTATTTTGCTTTTTTTATGTTTTTGTTTCACTTCCTTTTTTTCGAGTGTACTGCTGGTTCACCACCTTAATTTTTCTCACTACTAACAATGTTGTTCTATATTTTTATCAAAAATTAAAATAAAATATAAACAAAATATTGTAACCCAATCACCCATCCAGTTCATGAAGCTAAAAGCATAACAATAATGGATATGAAAAACTTGACTACATCCTGTCACGCTAAAACCCCGAGCTCTGAGTAGCTCAGTCCACATTCAGCATATTGCTGCTGAGAACCCCAGCAACACCTACAACCACCCACCAACTAAATTTTGCATTGATTAGGTGGCAATGTGGTCCCATTTTGCTGCGGCAGTCCCTTGATTAGGACTTGCCCGCGCCGAATATGTGCCTGTACATTCATTTTCTTCTTCTGCTTCTATTCAACAATAATACTACCGAATAACTCAACCACAACTATTCACAATAACAGAGACCCCACCATTCACTCATTCTCTCTCAGTATTCACAAAATCTAAGATGCCCAATACCTACACGTACAAGTAAAAAAATGATAATGAACCTCAATTTGAAAGATACGATACAAATTGCTCAATTGAGCAAGCAATTGATGTTAATTGATTAGGGTTAGAAAATTGGGAAGTGGATCCTACGCTAATTGCGGTAATTAAAACGATTAAGTTAAACCCTAGCTTCTTAGGTCAAGTCGATTAAGAAAAAGAAACAAACCTGAATTGGGGATATTACAACAAGAGCAGAACCGATCGAAGCCGTAGGTCGCACGATAACGACGATGATCGACGATTAGTTGGGAAAAGTAAAATATAGAGAAAGATAAATAGAAAGAAAGAAAGAAGTCACCGCTTCAATCGCACGTGCCAAGTAAGAATCTCGCACTGGTGAATTTACAAAACGGAGGCGACCAAGCAAGGAGAAGCTGATTATGGTTATGGCAATACGATTTGGGAACGATCGAACAGAGATGAAGAGGAAATATTTAGTCAAAAGCACAACGAATTAATATAGGGATTCAAGGATTAATTATTTTCTCGCAAAAATAAAATATATATAATAATTTTTTAATTCTGTTTTAATTATTTATTCTATGTTACTGGTTTGTTTATTATATTCTCCACTTTTATTTATTTATTTATTTATAATTTCTCTATATTAAAAACGAACTAAAGATAATACAATACTTGAAATTACAAAAAAGACCCGTCTCCCCAAATTAGGACATCTATATCATATATAGCTTTCTCCCTTATTTTTTTATTTTTTTTTTTTTTTTTTAACTCTTATCCTCCCAGTTCCCAATCCAATTTTGCGCTTTTTATTAATCAATCTTTTGGTATGAATATTTAATTTATAAGAATGTGATTATTTTTATATCAAAAATCATAATGAAATAAAGGTAATGAAAAATTTATATAAAAACTATGTTAAACAGAATGATGCAAAAAAAGAGATCAAAATACTTTTTTTTACTGTAATTCAAACTATAAAATATTTAAAGAGGGAGAAGGAATTAAACAATCCTATGCTGCTTCTGGTGGCGCTGAGGTTGAACAAATTGTTGCTGGTGTTGAAATTGATGCGGTTGTTGCTGAAACTGTTGCTGTTGATGGGACTGTAGAAGATTGTCTCTTGAGGACAAGGGGGAAGAGAAACTCAACTTCTCTGATTGATCAATCGATGGAGGCTTTATGTGCGCACCCTGTGGTGCCCCATGTAAATTCGACTGATTACCTATCAATGGAGAGCTGGTTTTGGACATGGGCGACTGCAAGCTCACTGAATTAAAATTATGATTATTTGTAATTGCTCCAACTGATGTTACACCATAGAAGTTCCCAGTCCCAAAGTTATCAGCATTGCTCATGCCATACCCGTCACCTGATGAATAAATTGTTGGTTGTAAAATGCCGTCTTATGCAAAGAGTAACCTCAGCATCTAAAGTTAACCATGAAGCAATGAACATGATTCAACAAAACAGAAAGGGAAACAGGCAGACGAAGAGAGAGATAGGTTACCCTGCATTAGTGGTCGCTGATGATCAAAGTGCTGCTGTAAAGGTTTGGGTGAATTAGCGTAAGGGGTGGTCGTTAAATAGCCCTCAGAAGTGCCAGGTTCATTCACAAGTGGTAAATTGTTCCCAATCATCCCTAACCCACCATTTAGAGCCCCATTAGAGAACCCATAAGATTTATGCTGAAGGCCAGAACTTATACCACTACCCATATGGCTGCCAAGGTTGTGCAATATGCGGCTGTTTTGACCACCAACATGCTGCTTTTGCTGTTGTGGCTGTGATACCATTGTAGATTCAACAGTTGAAAACCCAACACCATTATTAGAAGATTCCAAATTCATATATGACGGATTACTGCTACTACTACTACTGTTGTTGTTATTATTACTGTTAAATCCAGGAGTAGGAATCATTTGACTTGTAATCCTCTGGGCTCCCATTGATGACATGTTTCCACCAGAACCAATGGAAAAATTGGCAGGTGATTGTTGATATCCATTAGACAGAGTGCCTGCAGAAGTAAATTATGTAATGCTGGCATAAAAGGAAAAGTAATCAGTACTATTGAATAAATTATAAGAATCAAATATACCATCAGATCTATTGAAGGAACCACTATGTAAGCCACCAGCTGACAACAGGCTTCCTGTGTTGACAGTTGTGGGTGCTATGGTATTACTTCCACTGGCAACAATCACTGAGCTATCTACAGAGGATGTAACCATCATTGATGAATTCACGTTGTGTGACATCCCAGGTGTTGGTATCATTGTACCAATGGAAGAGGAAGAATTTACAAGCTGTTGATGCCGCTGATTATGGTTATTGCCAGATCTTCCTTTAATCAGACTACTCAAACGAAACTCTAATGTCTCCAAATTCATATAATCCTCCTACATAGGGGTTGCAGATGTATAACAAGACATAAGATTTAATTGTCACATAAAGAAATAATTCTTAAATATGAATTGCAGATGTATAACAAGATATAAACTTAATTGTTTCATACAGAAATAATAAGCTCTTGATAACAATCCTAGAAATGATATACCTCAATGCTTCGATTTGACAGAATTTCAATATAATGGATAACAAACATTCCTTTATTCTCAGAACAAAACTTAAAGAAATTTATAAATTAATAGCTGAGATAATTATTTTCTCAAATAAAAAGGAAAGAGAAAAAGAAAAAAAACCTTTGTCAGAGCAGCTTTAAATAGACCCTCCTCTAAGCGTTTTGAAATATCCCTAAACCTCGCTCTTGTTGCTTCATCAATTGGTTGCGTCTGGCGTTGCAATAGAATTGAAAAGCTGGAAAGAGTGAAATAAAATTCTGTTCATTAACTGTCACAAAAATTTTAGTAATGCCACTTTTTCCAAAACTTGTATATCAATTGGACAATACTTTTAGACTACCATAGAGATGATACAATAATGTGACAATTATATGACAGTCCTCCGTCATTCCTAAATAATATAATGCATTAATGAGGTGACACCACTTGAAATTAAAAACTTTATCAGAGTAGTATTATTTTCTCCTTCCAATAAAATTTTGATGGATCAGAGAATTAGCAAGATTATGATACCACAAGGGTATTACGTCAAATCACCACTAGGTGGTGTGATAGTGAAAAAAACAAAAAGAAATCTAAATTTACATGTCTTCTGCGCAAGTCTTCTCAATAGAGGTGACCATTGAGCTCATACCTAATTGATAATTTCAAAATCTCTAGAGATTAGTTAAAATGTTACAAACCAACCGAATACCCTAGTCATCAAACACACAAAATAAAAAAATAAAAAACAAAACAAACAACAAAACAAAAAAAACACAAACAAACAAAGGTACCACGTCACTTAATATTACTGATGTGTCACCATATGCATCATTGTTTAGCAAATGTGGTGCTGTTAAACCCTATCTTCTTTCTCCAGCATCGCCACTTTCTCCTTCCTTTTTCTTCATCTTTTTTCTCCTCCATTTTCCTTCTTCTTACTTCTCCTTCGCTCTTCCATCTCTTTTCTTCTCCCTCTTTGCTTTCCTTTGCTTTTCTTTTCTCTCCTCTTCTCTTTTCTTCTATCTCTCACAGTCGATGGAATTTTGAGTCATATATTTGTGGCTATTTGGCTTTGGATCTGATGATGGTTGGTGATGATTAGTGGGTTGACTTCGTATTGGGGCTATTTTGAAGGATTGTTGATGGATTGCTTTGGATTGAGGACTCCTAAACGAGCGGTTCGCGAGCTGAATTCGAGCTCAAAGTATTTAACGAACTCGAGCTTCAAGCCTGGTTTTCAGAGCTCGCCAAATTCCCGCTCGAGCTCGAGCTCGTTAAATTTTCACGAGCCAAGCTTCGAACACCATAGTGTTCGGCTCGGCTCGTATATAGCCCTAGATAAATCTAACTTCACATCCATATAAACACTAATTTTTTTTTTCTTTTTTCTTATCACACACCCCACCCCACCCCACACAATTTTGAATCAAATGGATTCCCTTCCAAGAGGGGATTTGATCTCTAGAATTCTTCCATTACACAAAAAAAAAAAAATTGTTAACATGTAGGGTAGGGAACAATATAAACATCAATTTTGCTAACACGTATACTTTGATTTGCTACTAAACATCTCTAATTGATGAGATGATCAAAGTATTTTACACGTTTACTTGTTATTTGTTTTAGTTTATAATTATATATTAAAAGAATATAAGAATAAAATGGTTTTAAAAAAAAAAANCTCACTACTAACAAATGTTGTTCTATATTTTTTATCAAAAAATTAAAATAAAATAAAATGAGAAAATAAACAAAATATATAGTAACCCAATCACCCATCCAGTTCATGAAGCTAAAAGCATAACAATAATGGATACAAAAAACTTGACTTACATCCTGTCACGCATAAAACCCCGAGCTCTGAGTAGCTCAGAATCCACATTCAGCATATTATGCTGCTGAGAAACTCCAGCAACACCTACACTACCACCACCACCAACTAAATTTTGCATTTGATTAGGTGGCAATGTGTTCCCATTTTGCTGCGGCAGTCCCCCTTGATTAGGAACTTGCCCCGCCGGAATATGTGCCTGTACATTCATATTCTTCTTCTGCTTCTTCTATTCAACAATAATAATACCGAATAACTCAACCACAACTATACCAATACAGGATCACCCCACCATTCACTCATTCTCCCTCAGTATTCACAAAATCTAAGATGCCCAAATACCTACACGTACAAGTGAAAAAATGATTAATGAACCTCAATTTGAAAGATACGATACAAATTGCATCAATTGAGCAAGCAATTGATGTTAATTTGATTAGGGTTAGAAAATTGGGAAGTGGATCCTACGCTAATTGCAGGTAACTAAAAATCGATTAAGTTAAACCCTAGCTTCTTAGGTCAAGTCGATTAAGAAATAGAAACAAACCTGAATTGGGGATATTACAATCAAGAGCAGAACCGATCGAAGGCCGTACGGTCGCAACGCAATAACGACGATGATCGACGATTTAGTTGGGAAAAGTAAAATATAGAGGAAAGATAAATAGAGAGAAAGAAAGATTAAGTCACCGCTTCAATCGCACGTGCCAAGTAAGAGTCTCGCACTGGTGAATTTACAAAACGGAGGCGACCAAGCAAGGAGAAGCTGATTATGGTTATGGCAATACGATTTGGGAATCGATCGACACAGAGATGAAGAGGAAATATTTAGTCAAAAGCACAAATCGAATTAATATTGAGAAAATTTAACTCCCGGACATCCCTAGTTTGCACTTAAGAAAATGACCCCGAAATTCTTTTTGAATTTTTCTTAATTTAGAAAAGCTATCGGGGCATATTTTGGTTCATTAAACATGTAAAGGGTAAACGACATATTCCCCTCTGGCTTCTGACTCATTGGCCCCTCCAATCGCTGGCACCGTTAGGCTTAGGGTTTTGATGTTCTTCGTCGGATTCCGATCGATTCTGGCGGTGAAAATCCATTTGGACACCACCACTGTCTCCAAATCTATAAAACCCTTATGTCCCCAGCAACCATTTCATCGTCATTCACCGGTCGAGAGTTCGTGTTCATCGATTGTCTTTTGGTGAAGTGGTGGACGACAAACGGTGAGCTGTCATGGCTGGAAAGGTTAGGGGTTTTGTAGGGGAGGATGCAAGAAGTCAAATGGTGGTGGTGGTTGGGGTTATCGTCGTTCAAAACAGTCGAAAGCCGGCAGAAACCAGTCGCCTGCCCCGACTGCCGTGGCCGACGATTGGCGAGTGATGAGGGGTTGTGAAGGGTATGGTTTTGTAGAGGGTAGGATGGGGGTTCAAATGGTGGTGACAAGGGTGATGGAAGAATCGCCGGAAAAAAGAGCGAAAAACATCGGGGACGCCATCTGCTAACGTGCGCCGGAGGACTGTTAGAGGCGGTGGTCTGCTAACGTGCGCCGCCCATGTAAAATGACCAATTTACCCCTTTATCGTTATATCAAACGCTTTTCCATCACTTTAAGGGTGGGAATCTGGAATAAATGTAACCTGGCCACCTGGGGTACCAGCTTGGGATTTCATCAAACCTTGGGTAGGACTATGTCGTTTACTCAACATGTAAAATAAGTTAAACTGAAAAGATTTAAACATATGTGGGTAAAATCCTAATTAACAAAAGTTGTTTAAATTTTGAAATTTGAAAATGAGCCCCCACCCTTCAAAATCGCTTAATCGAGCGAGATTTGCCAAAAACGACCGACGAAAACTTTCGTTTCTCTGTGATTTCTGATGACCACAATGCCAAAATTCCGAAAAATTTTCAATCCTAAAACTTCCTTACACAAAACCATGGCTGACATTCACAAAAAGGAGGAAAACCCAACCCCAATCCGAATCGTAGACTCCGGCGGCCCCAGCAGTTCAAAGGTTATCGAAGACGACACTCCGGTGGATCATCCGATGAGTGAAGGTGGTCCGCAGGCAGAGGAGACGACGGCGGCTTCAGAACAGAGAGAAGAATCAGAAAACAGTTCTGAAGAGGAGGGTGCCGGTGAAGAAATGGTACGTTTTTTACTTGTTTTTTTTAATTGGATGAGAAAATTGATTGATTTGTGCGAATGTGGGGGAGATGTAGTTGGTTTTATTGTTATGGTGGTTGTGGCGTTTTGTCGAACAGTTGGCGGGCATTAGTGGAGTGGCTTTGTTTGGGTTCCAAAGGATAGGGGAAGGCAAGGGAGGCCATAGTGAGGTTGTTTGTGGGAGGTTGGTGGGTTGGGGATGGCAGGAGGTCATGCGTTGTGCGTGGCCAGCCCTGCAATATGCAAGGCAACCCTCCAACCCCTCTATTCGGCCACCTCCTACCATCCTCAACCCTCCAACCTCATGGAACCTACCACAACAGTCTTTGTAAGGCTTGCATTTGCAAGGCTAACTATAATTGTTGTGTTAGAAGTGTTAAATTTCAGGGTTTTTAATTCATATGTTGGTGGGATTTTAGCTTTGGTGATTATTTGGATGTGTTTTTTTTTTAGTTGTGGGGATAATGGTCTTAATTGTGGTGATCCTTAAATTAGTGATTTTATGAATTTGTATGTTGTGAATGAATGTGTAACGGTGGTGCTGGTATTATGTGTGATACTAATGTTTGTTGGTTGTGCTTGAAGTGTGAAATGAAAGTTTTTTAATTCATACGTTGGTGAGGTTTTAATTGAGTGATTGTTTAGATTATTAGTCTGTAACAATGAATGAATGGATGTTGTTGATGATGGTGGTGGAGGTAATATTATTAAATGGAAGATTAAGTTTGTTTGTTGTGTTAGAAGTGTTAAATGCTTGTTTTTCAATTGATGCTTCGGTTGAGTTTTAGTTTAGTGATGTTTTAGATGTGTTTTGAGTTGTTAATTGTTATGATGGCAAGATTAGTAATCTTATGAGTTGTGCAGTATCGTTTTTTATGTTCATTTACATTGTATGATGCTCCTTTTTTTTTTTTTTTCTCATACACTTGAAAAGATTAGTTGAAAAGTTCATTATATGATACTTCTTATTTGTTTACAAAGTATGTTGGCAGCCTATTGGGTTTTTTTTTTTTTTTTTCTGATATTTAGTTTATACCGATTGTGCAAATTTTCCAAAGCGTAAACTATAAAGACTATGGGTTTGAGGTTGTAAGCGATAAGGTACCGTACTGCCCTGTAAGGGTGACAGTTAGGTCGAGTTGGTAAGTTTTTACGAGAATAATGAATATTTTACAGGAATAGAAGAAGGGTTTAGACCGATTCAAAGAGAGTTGTTTCGGTCATTTTATGAACATCAGTTGTTTCGGTCATTTTATGAACATCAGAGAAAATTGGAAAAAGGCAATCTGAGGGCAGGGAGTGCATTATATGTTGTTGCACTATGTTAAAAAAAAAAAAATGTGGTTCGTGGTGGATGGAAAGCCACTACATTTTCGGATGATGGAATATGCCTTGATGATAGGCTTAAGATGTGGGAAATTCCCAGATGCAGCAGAGCAAGAGAAAATAAAGAACAGTAAGGCAGCCGAAAACTTGGGTAGAAAGTTTTTTTTTTTTTTTTTTTTTTGGGGGGGGTGAGGGGGAAGCGTCTATTATGGGACGCGATTTAGAGGAGAGGTTAGAAGAATGTAGGTATACCTCTTCAGAAAGGTTCAAAATGTGTCCGGTATGGTTTGTGTTTTCGATCCTAATGGCTTCTGACTCAACAAAAGCCGTTAATATGGATTGGGTGAAGTTTGCAAGCAACATGGACTTCTTTAATGCTTATCTATGGGGACGGGTATCATTTCAGCTAACCATGGACTCCCTGCAAAGAAAAGACATGGCGTTAAAGCAGTCCCAATCGATTGAGAAGAATAGACCAAGCACGTACAATTTGGTTGGCTTCCCATGGGCAATGCAGGTAAATATTAATAGCTTTTTGCTATATTTTTTGTATTATATGTGTTTTAATTATGATATGGACTGTTTTTTAAAAAGATAGGCTTAATTGTATGAGGCCATCTCTGTCCTGGCTAATGGGGGCGGAGAGGATGAAGACTTTGGATGAGCGAGCGCAATTTCCTAGGATGTTGCGGTGGCAAGTCCAAAGTCTAGGATGTTGCAGTGGCACGTCGAGAAGTGTACCTATTGGGATTACGACAAAATAGACATGAAAATTCAAGCGGCTCGAGTAAGATTAAAGAATTAAGCTTTTGAATATGCACTTGCTTTAAAATGTGGTTTAAATTTGATGGATTTTGTTTCTTATTTCAGGGAGTCGTCTGTCCCTTCCTACCGTTACTGGGGGCGAAGCGGGAGAGGAGTATGTTACATCTTTCCAAGTATTGGAGGATGAACCAAATGAAGGGATAGACCACCTAATGCAGGACCTAGAAGGGGTCATGCATGTGAGTGCAGTTGCAGAGCCACTGCTTGAGAATGTTGTTGACACCGAGGATGATGAAGCTCCAATTGGCGGGATGGAGGAGGAAGAGGTTCGTACGCCTCCACCCAATTGGCAAACTGGTACAACAAGTACTGCTTTGCCGAGGCATTGGGGTCGGGAGAATGAGGTGGTTGACCTCATAAACGGTCTGTTTGAGAGTTTTACAACAACCGTTTATGAGAGGTTTGAGAAGATGGAAGAGCGGATGGAAAGGGTGGAGGAGAAAGTTGACAAGGTAGCAGAGAAAGTTTGTAAGATAGAGGAGGAAGTTGGTAGAGTATTGAAAGCGGTTGAAGTGCAACATGGGCTAAAAAGAGAGAGTCGAAAGGGTAAGTTTGTCAAATCTCCTTACACCATAGTAATGTATGGAAAGAAGAGGAAAATGAAGGGAAAAATTGAGGAAGTCCACGAAAGTGGTGAAGCAAAAATGGAGGAGGTTAAAAAGGTTGCTGGAGGAAGTGGGGAAGTGATAATGGAGGAAGGTGATGTAATGACTCTTTCTAGCTAGTATACTTGGCAAATATAATACATTAAAAACACATAAACATATGAGTAAAAGATAATGGGCCAAAAATTTCTTTACTTTATATATAAAATTCCTTCCACTAATAAAAGTCTCATGTACATAAGCTCAAAAATAATATACAGTGGTGCCATTTCCCTCCGCCTCTCGACATTCATTTGACTGCTTCTCAGCTATTTCCTGCAAAAACAAAGAAAATAACGGAGTGAGAACTAATTGCTCAGTAAGTAAATCCACTATACTAACCTTTTCTCTCCGTTGCTCACATTCTAATCTCTTTCCTTACATTACTCTTATCTGTTTTTTCTCTATTCTTATCTCTCTGTTCTTTCTTTCTTTCTAAGTTCTCAATTCTTCCTCTTTCTTTCTAATTTCTCACTACTCATGGTAGTAGGCATAATGTCATGCGTAAATGTGATGCACATGCACAAATGCAAGAAGTGCACATTTTCTTTTCTGTTTTCTATTCTTTCTCTTCCTTCTTTTCTTCTCTTATGCTTTCTTATTCTTATTCGTATTATTTCTTGCTCTTATTCTTATTCTTTCTTGCTCTTATTCTTATTCTTATTCTTTCTTTCTCATTCTTTCTTATTCTTTGCCGATCAGACTCAATTGAGGCATGGATTCGGAACCCTGGCCGTATGAGTGTATTCTTCTTTCTTGGATACATCCCTCATCCACATGCACTCTTACGGGCTATACCAATTCTTTTTCTTATTCTTAGGCCGCTCACTGAAGGCGGCGTGCATGCGGGGAAATTCTTCTTGTCACTCACGGGTTCTCCATCGCAACAACCTATTCTTTTCTTCTTTTATAACATTCTTTAATAACTTTTC